AGGACAATAAACCAAAATTTCTTTATGTACTTTTCAGAAGCATTTTTCTATACTTTTCTACTCTTTGAAAATTCTAACACGTTGGTGCAAAAATTATCAGAGACTTTAAATCACTCTTTGAATGAAATCATCGAAATCTGCTTCTGAAAAAAATGAAACAATTCTCAATCACCACTGTGCATTACCAGGCTCATTCTTTTCTTTCTCGGCCCAAGACAGTGAGGTTTGGCTCGGCCCAACTCATCATTCAAATTTCCCCTCTCCCTCACAAGACAAGACGCCTCGCCTTGCCCAGCCGCATAGCGTGGGCTGGGCCAGCAAAAAGTGCCAGCGGCCAGCGCCCGCTGGGCCATTGAGTGGCCCGGTCATTCCACGCCGTCGGATCAAATCCGACGGCCGTCCGGCCGTTTCGCCTGATGAAAACCCCACCGCGGCCGGCCTTTCCCCTAAACCCTAGTTCATTTCTTTCCTCCCTTTCTCTCTCATCCATGCGACCGGCAGCCCGCTCCACGGGCGTCGAGAGAGAGGAAGTGGAGGGCGGCGCCGCCCGCCACGGCCCCTCTCCCGCCGGCAGCGCGTGCGGCTAGAGCTGCACACCGCCGTCGAGGGAGCCACGGTGGTGCCCTTTGCACCGAGCCCAGCGGTGGGCGTAGCTCGGCCGTCTTCCCGCGCCGCCGGCGAAGTCTTTTTCCCAAGACGGTGTGGCGATGCCGTGGCGGGATGAAGGCCTGTGTAGGACCACCGTGTTCGTTCTCATCTTTCTTTGGGATTTGGGGATTCTAGGGTTAGGATTTGGGGATTCTAGGTTTAGGGTTTTGTGAAATTTGAATCGATTTTAATCACTTTCTTCTCTCTTTTCTTTCTATTTCTTTCCCGAGATCTAGTCACGGGTTTAGGGTTCGGATCAAACGGTCTTGAAGCCGAGCCCCTTGATCTTCACCCATTTACTGTTAGAGTCATTTCTTCATCCCCACGCGGGTTAGGGTTAGGGTTAGGGTTGAATACTTTTCAAATCGAAAACTCCTTCTTTCCCCGTTTCTTCACTCGATTAGGGTTTAGGTTCGATGAACCCTTTGTATTTCTTTTCTTTTCGATCCGAATCGGATCTAGCTCCGCTTTTTTCTTTGTCGTTATCTTGATTCTCTTCCCACGTCGGCCTAGCCGACGATGGTACTCCATCCCGCGTGAGGCGGTAGTGACGGCGGCGGGGAGGCCCTAGTAAGACTTCCCCCCGAACCGTCGTCCATTTCTTTTCCCTTCTGTTAGGGTTAGGGTTATGGGTACCCTTCCCCTTTCTCTCTATTCTTTGCTAGGATTAGGGTTTCTACTTCTTCCGATTTAAAACCGTTCATCTTCCCCACGCGGTTCTTCATTCTCTGTCTAGATCCGAACGGATCTAGTCTATCTTTTCTTTTCTAATCGGTTTCTAGCCTCTGACAAGATCCACGCCTAGGTAAACCTGCTCTGGTACCATTGTTATATACTTTGGATCGTCTAGGTGTGGATCCAGTGGGTTAGTTCTTTCCTGTTGAATCATGAGTTTGCTTCGGGGTAGGAGACAGAGAGAGAGAGAGAGAGATGTAGGAGCATCTGACCGTTGGAGGAGCTCCCTGCCTTCACTGGTTCGTCGATGAAGATCTGCGCTAGGCAGCGACGTTTGGTGTAGGTGTGAAGACCGGCGGTGGTGGTGGAGGCAGTGGTGCTTCCCGCCGCTGGCAGTGCCACCCTCTGGATCGGATTAGGGTTAGGACAGTGGGCTGTGGTGGCGGCGAACCTCGTGTCGTGTGCCGTTTGCCCCACCTCCTCTTTATAGGCACTGTGCGATGGGGGCCCACTAGCCACGAGATGGCTGGACGTCCCCGATCAGGACGCGGTCAAGGGGTCCGTCTCGACCGTTGGGTCAAGACGGATGAGATCAATTCTAACAAATTGAATTTGTTATAAATGGCCAATTCCATCAGTGTCTACTGAAATCATCACGAAGGTGTCACATATATTATATACTTAAATTTTAAATGCTTTCTTTCCTTTCCAGTTGCATTGCTTGGTAGCTATGATTAGGATGATACTGAGGTGTTCCACCTGCCCGTCTTAACTCATCTGATGTCATTGACAGAAGACATATTCCATAAGCATGGTAAGCTACTAAGTACCTGAAGCCATGGTTTGACTAAATGGACCATGAAGTTGTATCTATCAGTTTCAGGGAATTAATTAGAGCCCTCCATGATGAAACCTGGACATGACACTTAAATACACTAAAGCATATAACTCTGGCACCAGATCAGTCACTTCTTTCTAGCAAAACCTGTGCACTATTACGCTTTTATATATTTGTTTTTTGAAGGTAGTTGTGTGACTGCGTTCTGTGATTATCCCAATCTGTCAATTTCATTTTAGAAGTAATCAAGTTTCCTTTTTATTGCCTAGGATTGTTCAATCGTGCTCTGAAATCCTTTCTATGTTGAACATGAGAAGGAGAGTGCTAAATTGCTAAATGAATTCATAGTTCAGACTTAATCTCTTATGATGTGCAGGTGCCACCATCTTAGCTTGTCATTCTGTACCAACAACATTTTCGACTAATGCTTTACTTATTTTGTTTCGAGACAAAAGTGCCACAAGCTGCTACCAATGCCGTTCTTTGGAATCAATCATATTCCTTGCCAGGGAGAAGGCCAGGATAAAAGGTTCAGATTAATAGGAATGTGCAGCTTCGAGCCAAGAAGTCTGTGTGGCCCATACTGTTTTCTGTAAGTTCCCTTTGCAACAACTCTCCACTCTTTGAAACAAGCAGCATTGTTGGATTGTCCTCATTCAATTCCACTGTATTATCAATATCTAATAGCTGTTGATATGACGAGAGAAAATGACTGCAATGACTATATTAAGAATCTGCCAAAAGATAACTACTTAAGTATCATTCTACAATAACGGCGCTGTATGATTGCCTGATTGACAAGAACTAAAGAATTCAGTCTGGAAGCGAGTTGGTGTCATGACCTCATTGGCCACTGGTAGTAAATTGAACACGCATTATATGATATATGTAAAGTGTGTTTCAGCTGGTCATATCAAATATAAAAGGGAAATTTTGCTGCGGGACACTGCTAAAAAACATAATATGCTGATGGACACCGCAACGAGTGGAATTTGCCCAGTACTATTACAAATTTGGGGTTCTTTACCGTGACACACCGCAGTCAATATTTTATTCATTTATCAGATTCGTGGAGAGAGAAGACGGGAGAAATAACTTTTTTGCCCTCGTCTTCGACCTTCGGCCGTTCGTTTATTTTTGCCGTAACACATCGCCGCCGCCTTTTCTTCTCCGGCGACGCCCACGACCGCGACGCCGGGCATCTCCACCACGGCTCCTCGTCTCCAGTAGCGTGGTGGCGGCGGCGCTGTACGGCGGCTGGCGGTGCTGCAGCTGTTGCCATTGCCCGCCTCGTCATCCTTTTCCTCCGGTCTCCTCTCCCCTTTGCCATTGCCGGGGAGCGAAGCTCCAACAGTGCGACCGAGCCGCCCGCAAGGACCGAGCACCGCCACGAGGACCAAGTTCCCCCCTCCCGCATCCACCACGCTACCGCTCACGCGTCGCAATGCGTCACGACCTGCTCTCCCATGCGCCGAGTCCGCCATTAACGGCGTGCTTGAGCCCTCCGCGACCCAGCCCTCTCCTCCTCCTCTCTCTCCCTCTATAAAGGGCACCCGAGCTCCGCAGAAGCAGGCCGCCACCACTCCGCCCATCCCCGTGCCTCCTCCCTCTCTCCAGCTCCCAAAGCCGCCGCCGCCGCCATTGCCGACCCAAGGTCGAGCTCCGATCTACCAAATCCGTTCACCTCCTGCTTATTTTTCTCCTGTGTTGGCATCGCAGTGGCACAAAGAGGCCACAACCCCACCCCTCGGCGTCGATCCATGGCCGCGTCGTTGAGTTCAACCGAGCTCTGCCACTACCGTCCGCCTCAACCCGACACCAGCGCTTTCCGAGCCGTTTCCACCAAAGAGGACCCCACTGGTGCTTTCTATGTGCTCTCCTCTACCTAGTCCGCCCCTCGTGGAAGGCCGCCGGCCACCGGAGCCGTGGTGGAGATGCCCGGCGTCGCGGTCGCGGGCGTCGCCGGAGAAGAAAAGGCGGCGGCGATGTGTTACAAAAAAAAAGCGAACGGCCGAAGGTTGAAGGCGAGGGCAAAAAAAGTCATTTCTCTTGCCTTCTCTCTCCACGAATTCGAGAAATGAATAAAATATTGGTTGTGATGTGTTACGGTAAAGAACCCTAAATTTATAATGGTACCGGGCAAATTCCACTCGTTGCGGTGTCCATCAGCATATTACGTTTTTTAGCGGTGTCCTGCAGCAGAATTTCCCAATATAAAATTTAAATGCTATATACATATTGTATTGTTGGAACACATACTGTGCACAATTTTGAATATTATATTGTTGGAACACATACTGTGCACAATTTTGAAGATTGAAGTATATGCTCTGCATCTAGGGTTGCATTTTGTTGCTTTTTTAATTGTAATTGCTACTTGACTACATTCTAAGATCAACACTGCAAGTAGCAACCCATCATAGAATTTCTTATTCTTATATGGACTATATGACAAAATGCTGACACGTAGCAAGAAGCACTACAGGAATATGCCCACAGCGCCTTCTGAGTTTCTTCTGCTTCTTTCTGACAGGCCACCAAAAATGACACCAGTTTATTTTCGGGACTATGTAAACCCTGAAGTTGGTAGAGGCACACAAAGAGGCAAACACCTTTGGTCAGATCCATGTTGCACTGCGGCTACCAGATGAAGACAGTTTAGCTTGCATTGGGACGAGGGTCCGCACGCTTTTCTCTTCCACCTTGTCTCCCCACTTTGCCTCCTTGTTCTGTATATACGTGAACTAAATCACATCGACCAAACCAACTCTTATGGTAGACAGCAAGCCAATGGAGACCATTTCATATCCTTGTTCTCCTCTCCTCTTCTTTCCTACACATGAAGAGAGTAGCTATTCACTATGGTCTCCTCAACTCACCCTCCATGAGAATGCCACCATACCTGCTGATCCTTCTCCTGATGAAAGAGAAGATTGTGAGCTCTTTGACACCATTGCTATTGATTCTAGTGATTCCCATGACCAACATCCCTTTGATGTTGATGTGTTCAACCATTGTGATGAGAGGTTTCTGTGCCAAGAGAGTGCTAACCTGGCGGCTATCCAAGATGAGCTCATGGAGGAGAACAGTTTAGTGATCTCCTTCTCACTGGTGCAGATGTGGTTGAGGCTGGGGATTCAAGCCTTGCCTTGGCGGTGCTTTCAAAACTTAATGGCCTCTTGGCTGGCACCTGTGAGAATGCTGCAACCAGCTCTTTGGGTCGCCTGGCCTACCACTTTGCCCAAGGCCTGCAATCCCGGATATCTGGTGCATGCTCTCCATGCTACCCGCCAGATTCAGTGCAGTCTGGTATTATGTCGGCGCACCAGATGATCCAAGAGCTGTCGCCATATGTCAACTTTGCACACTTGACCGCCAATCAGGCCATTCTAGATGCCACCATAGGTGACATGGATATTCATGTCATCGACTTCGACCTTGGTGAGGGCATACAGTGGCCATCGCTCATGTCAGACCTTGCTCGCCATGGTGGCAAGTCATTCCACCTTACAGCAATTATAACAGATGCTGTTTACAATGATGACACTTATCAAGCAGCTGCACGGCGGCTTTAGGAGTTTGCCGAGTCCTTGAACCTTCCCTTCCGGTACAACTCTCTGTGTGTACGCCCAGTGGTTGTCTCTTGTGACACAACGAATCTGTGTTACAGATCAGGTAGCAAGTTACAGATGCTACTACTCTGTGTGAGGAAGTTACAACCCAAGTCAGTAGTCGTCATAGAAGAGGAGCTGGTCAGAATTGGGAAAGAGGCTTGTTTGTCCCAGGTCTCCTTTGTGGAGTTCTTCTTCGAGGCATTGCACCATTTCACCACGGTGTTTGAGTCCCTGTCGAGTTGTTTCAGCAGTAGTAGCAACAGGGCGTGCCTGAGGCTTGTCGAGAAGGATATGGTGGGGCCAAAGATACAGGACTTCGTGGGGCAGTACGGATCTGTGACACCGGAGGCCGCTGCTCCGAAGGTTTGGAGGGTTTTACATCGTGTGAGCTGAGTGCTTGCAATATTGCTCAGGCTAGGATGCTCGTTGGGCTGTTCAACAGGAGCTGGTGTCGGTTTGGAGGGCTTCAGTTGTGCTGGAAGTCCAGACCTTTGATCTCTGTGTCGGTTTGGACTCCTGTATGAAAGGATATCAGTTTGTGATTGTTTCATTAGGGGTAATTTTTCTGGTAAGAGTTTGCACTGGAGGATTTTTTTTTGTTGGGAGATTATTTGTAGAATGCAACTATGCAAATGCCAGAATTATATTGTTTGTTTGGGTCGATTCTTCAAACTTTTATCAGGCTGGTGTCAACTTCTTTCCTGCCTTTCAGTTTCAGGGTGGCTTCATGGTATTATAGGCTACTAGGGACTGTTAGGTTGAAGGCTTTCAGTCCGAGCAGCTTCTAGCCCAGGCAGCAATCTCAATCTCGGCCCTCTAAAATTGAAGACCTGAGATTTATCCCTGCCCTCCAAAATTAGATTTATGCCTGCCCTCCAAATTTGGAGGCCTCTGATTTATGCCTAGGCTAAGGCTCAAACCAAACAGACCTCTAATGCAACAAGCGCTTAGGTATTGTTAATGAGCTCTTGTGTTTTGATTTTCCATATTTCTTTGTTATTTCTCTTAAGAAACATTTAAAGCCCCAAAAACACATATATCTAAGAGAACTTGTAGTGATGAATAAGCTTGCAACTTCTTTGACTATTCCTTCCGTCCCTAAATGATTGTCGTTCTCGCTTTCCGAAAAATAACTTTAACTAATTTTATATAAAAAATATTAATATTTATGGTACACAATTGATAACGTTAGATAGATCGTTAAATCTATTTTTATAATAAATTTATTTGAAGATTCAAATGTTGCGCGTATTTTGTCAAATATATAACACGAAAATAAAAAAAGGACAATTATTTAGGGACTGGAATCGGCAACTGGCTTTTGGAGCTGCTGCTTTATTTTTTGCCGCTAGAGGCCTTGAGCTAGGACTGCTGGAGCACAACCAAACGCTTCGCCTTAGCTTCGCCACCGCATAGAAAATGCCGTGACGGCCACGGCCCTCGCTTCCCGAATCTTGCCCGTACCGCGCTTAAATTCTCACAACTGGGCACGGCGAGTCGGCGAGGCCATCTTCCTCAGCCACGACGACCGCACCGCCCGTCCCCTCCGCCTCCACGTGCCTGCCACGACGAGACCGAGGTTGACCAGGCTGCTGCGCGCGAGGACGTGCGACGGTTACCAGCTGCAGCAGGTGAGCAGGGACGGGCCCTGCCGCTCCTCCCTCAGCCCCACACTGCTCAGCCCTTAGCCTCGCGCAGGGCGACCAGCTCCTCTCGACGGCGGGCCGGTGCCCGGCGGCGACACTGGCTCGAGATCCGCTGCCATCCCCTTCCCTCTGTGTACTCGCTGACGTGTGGATCCGGTAAAAAACCCCTCTGCTTTTTTTTATAGCAGCTTCTTTACGCCTGGGCATCTAGAAAACAGCTAGCTTGTACAAGAGCTCGTAGTCATTTTGGTCACCTCAAAAGTCCTCTCTCTCTTTGCAGACCCATTTGGTTACTTCTTCCCAAGGAGCGTTCGTCATGGAAGCACTGATTTCTGCAGTTGCGGGTGAACTTGTCAGCCGGTTCATCTCTTTCTTAGCACAGAACTTTTGCGACCGTACACTGAATGAGGATGACCATAGAAGATTGGAGCACGTCCTGCTAAGGATTCATACCATCGTTGAGGAAGCAGAGGGGCGGTGCATCACAAATCGAGGAATGCTGCTACAGCTGAAGATGCTCATGGAGGGCATGTACGAAGGGCACTACATGCTTGACAGGTTCAAGATACAGCATGCTGAAGAAGACAAAGTCGAAGGTGAGGTGAGATCACTTGCCATGTCTACTCTTACTGCTGCCAAGCGCCTTCGTTTTACTTCTGCTATCACAAAGGACACACCAGCAGCTTTTGGTACCGGGGGCACTGCAAACCTGAAAGGTGTTCTTGACAGTTTAGAAGCAAAGATTCAGGATATGAGGGAGTTCGTCATGCTGCTTGGCAGCTGCCCACGCCTGCCTCGTCAGCCGTACTGTACATATCTGTTCATGGATAAGTGCATGTTTGGTCGCCACGCCGAGAAAGAGCATGTCATCAATTTCTTGCTGGCAAATGATGATACTCATGATGACTGCTCAAATCTGGGCATCCTTCCGATCATCGGTCCGCACCGAGTTGGGAAGAAAACCCTTGTGCAACATGCTTGCAAGGATGAGAGGGTACGCGATTTCTTCTCCAAGATATTGTTCTTCAAAGGGGATGATCTAGAGAACGGAGAATTCGCAGAGAGTTTAGAGGCTGCCTCCGGGAAGAAGTGCTTGTTTGTTGTTGAGTTCCATTGGAATTTGGATGAGGCAGCATGGACAAATCTCAAATCCTCTTTTCAGAAGGTGGCGGGTCATGGAAGTAAAGTTCTTCTGATAGGAAGAACTCATGAAGTTGCTAAGTTCGGGACGGCACTGCCTGTCTGGATGAAGAGTTTGTCTCAGGAAGAGTACTGGTACTACTTCAAGGCACTCGCTTTCGGAAGCATGGATCCTGATGAGCATCCAAAACTTGCATCTCTGGGCATGCAGCTAGCTACTGAATTAAAAGGCTCATTCCTGGGTGCAAACATACTCGGTGAGATGTTAAGATCTAATCCCAACGCTCAGTTCTGGCACGCCATCCTGTCAAGCGTAAGAGCGCTCGTGCAGGAACACATGTTTTCCGTTGGGGTACACCCTGAAGACCTCCTTGAGAGAAATGTTCCTGTTGGTTTCACTAATGTTTCCTTTGTGGGTGCCCAAAGTCAGGGGTGCCTGGTGTATGATCTCAGGGAGGCTGGCCCTGGAGAAGATGAGCTGCCATTGCCGACGTCGCGAGAAGTACTGACGGGTGTCAAGGTTCCTGCTGAGGACAGGTTTGATGTGCTGGTATGGAAATCTCGCATCCCACCATACTGCAGCTACATAGCTACCTATGAGAGACAGAAGGCGCCCCGGCACATAGTTGGCAAGAAGAATCGTCTGGCTCTGAGAGAAATACAATCGTAGTTGTTCGCTGGCAAACAGATTTCTCAGAAAGGTGCATGTTGCATGCATCCTCAGGCATTTTAGTTCTCGAGACTGTCTGCTGGTGTATGATTTCAAGGGAAGCCCAGGCATGTCCATAGCGAGCTTCCCAGATTAACATCAAAATGAACACTGGTGGATGGTTGGAATTGGAAGTTTTCTTGTGATGGGATGCTTGATGTGCCAGCACCAAGTCATGCGTCCCTCCTTATATATATATATATATATATATATATATATATATATATATATACCTCCGTGAAGCCAAAGCTCAGGTCGTCAGGCGTACGCCTATAACTAGAATCACCTGGTTGTTAACCATATAGGCATGATCTTGTTTGAAAAAGAAACATATTGCTGTAACTGCATTGTGAACTACTGTAACGTTTTTATGGCCTCTTAGGCTGCTCTCTTGTTAGCATTTTGGATAACTAAAATACAGTCCAATGCCTTGTACCAAGAACATGTTGCTGTATATAACCTCTCCCGACCTTACTGTCGTCTACTCCCTCTGTCCCTAAAAGAAGTCATTCTAGACTTGGACTACGTCAAACTTAAAACCTTCTTTAAGTTTGACTGCATTTATAGAAAATATATCACTACTTGTGTATCCAAATTAGTTTATTATGGAAATATATTTCATTATCTATCCAATGATACTTCTTATGTATCATAAATATTAATATTTTTTTGTATATAATTGATCAAAGTTGAGATGGATTTACTGCTGAGAATAATACTCTTTTGGGGCGGAGGGAAGAAAGTTCACCCAGCACCTCCTTCATCCATTATTGCCGTGCAATACTATTGCAACCACAAATTGATAATGACAGGAACACGAAGTTGCAATAGGAAATGTGCGAGTGCAACCTGTTTTCAATGATTTGGACCCTTGTCTATACAAGATGGCTTCGATCGGAGACATGCATTTAGGAGAAATTCTAGCTATCTTCCTAGCAATTTCATAGTCACTTTCAAAAGTGTTGAAGTCCATGTATGTAATTGATTGGAGTAGACGAATAGATGACTATATTCCCTGAAGAAAAAGGATGAATATATCTGCTTATATAAAATGTGCCTGAATTCGACAAACTATTCTGCTCCGATCCCTGCTGGTAGCTCTCGTAGTCACATGTCACTAGTGATTCATGGATTTCGATCTCCTTGAGCAAAAATGGTTTAGCAGTAATTTTCTATAAACATATATTTGTTAAGCAAGCCCATTTTTAAGAAACTTTTATTTCATTGATGCAACGCGTCAAGCAAACTATTGGCAAGCATATTGCATGAAATATCCAGATTACGCCTTGTTTGGATGCACTTGTATTCATCTCAATTTACATGTCTTCAAGTGGATTGGAGTGAAATTAAACTAAGCTACATTCCAATTCACTCCAGCACATATGGATTGAAGTGCATACGCATGCATCCAAACAAGGCCTCAGTGAAGTCACATGCAAATTCCAAGGGAACTTGTTGCACGCGTACAAATCACTAGCAATTTATCACAATATAATACAAATTGTTTGAAAAGGCAAAGGATGACCTAATAACACCAAGGTGCCATATATTCTATGTCATATGGCTTTGTGACTAACTTAACTACAATACATGTGTGCCATATGAAAGCAACTTCATACCTAATGCCGCACTTTTTGAGCCACAGCAACGAAGTTCCGTGCCTTTTTTTCTCCACTCCACATGAACAAGACAAATGTTCCACACGTTCTCTGGATTCATGCACATTAGTTATTATTATTAGTACAATCATCATGATAAAGAAAATAGAAAGCTTAACATGTTTACTACAACAATGGAAAACATTGACAGAAAAATTTGATTATTATGACATTCAATCTAATAGTAGTGTGATACTAGATGCAATGGAATGTTTAAAAATCTTCTTGCTAGTTGCACCTTTTATTTCTGGTGACTGCAAATTTAAATCTCTTTTACTATAAATCTAAGTGTGCGTACATGTATGAGTATCTATATTGTACTCCATCTGGCCGTCCTCTCGTAAAAAAAAATTCTAGATTTTGCATAAGTCAAATGATTAAGTTTATAAAAGAATAATATCAATGTTTATGTCTTCAAATAGATTTACTACGGAAATATATTTCATAATTAATTTGATGATATTTTTTTTTGTATCATAAATGTTAGTAATTTTTTTTTGTATAGATTTAGTCAAACCTAAAATTGTTCGACTTCTCGAAAAATAACAATTGCATTTTTTTGGATAGAAGGGAGTAATTTGCAAAAAGAAAACTATAACTCCAAAAAGGATTGAAACTGCCCAAACAAAAAGAAAAATCGAGGCCCTCTTTGCCCTGTTTTTGTTAGGACTTCTCCACCAACTTAATAAAAACGTTGCTAAACATGCACACATGAGAACGGTTTGCGAGGTCAAAACTCATAAAACCGAAGCCATTTTTATCTAGAAACCGAAGCAAAAAAAAACATGATTTTTTGGCTTTACTCGAGCTGTCGAGCAGCAGGGAGGAAGAGGAACAGCATCGTTCCAGCAGACACAAAATGGTAGGCTTCCCATTTGCGAGTGTGTGACCCCACTTCGCACCTGTCCGGCCTCCTCCGTACACCACGTCCACGGATGTGGCCCATTGACTCACTTGGCCCACACGAACTGGTCCACCAAGGACGGAGCCCACTGAAGAAATTCTCAGGAAACCCCTGGACCTCCAAAACATTCCTGCGGTGTGCGGTCCTACCCCTACACTCACAGCGCGTACGCATTTTACCATTATGCCCCCTGAGCTGCATCGTATTTCCAACACGAGTCCTTCGCCCCCCAGCGGCCGCACGATCCTTAAAGCTCCATTGCTCCCCCACCTCGCCTCCTTCCACTTCGAGCACACACACTCCCACGCCCGCGCGCGGCCCCACCGCACTGCCGGCCCTTGGTTCCACAGAGCGCGCGCTGCGCGGTGCCCCCAGCGATGGCGGCGGGGGATGGCGGTGGTGGGCCCGAGGAGGGCGTCGGCGAGAGTTCGTCCCCGCCTCGCGACCCCGGGCCCGCGGCCGCGGCCGCACCCGCTGCCTCCGGCGGGAGCGGTGGCGGCGGCCGCGGCGGGAGCCTCCGAGACATCTGCCGCGAGGTGTTCGAGCGCCTCGTCAGCGATGGCCTCGCGGCGGGCTCCGAGCTCCTCGCCCAGCTCGAGGCCCACTTCAATAGGCTCCCCATCAGGTGAGCCACTCGCAGACTCGCTCGTCTCGTCTCCGCCTTCCCCTCCCCTGCCCCAGCCCGCGGAAGCAGTTGCCTGCGCCTTTTGGTGGAATGATTCGGGGGTTGGAAAGGTTTCTCAAATGGTCGGGGAATCCCTTGAGCTTGTGGCCGGATTGAGGAAATCCGCGTCAGTTGTTATGCTTAGGTCTCGTTCGTTTGGCTGGTTTTGAGGCTGGGAACTATTCCAGCTAATCTATACTAATACAAATAAGCCTATCAATCCAGCTGGAACAATTCCAGAGCAACCATTCCAGATTAAACGAACGGGCCCTTAGGGACTCATCACGGCGTTCAGCTTTACTGGATTTATGCCAGTGGAATATCACTGGGTCCAACGACCGGTCTTCAGCTCTGCTCGGTGGACTTTGAACGGGCGGTTTCTAGATTAAACTAAGTGGCGAGCATTTGTTTATTTGACTTTGAATGGGTGTGTTCCCTTCTCCAAGGAACGTGCTTCTCAATTGTTTGCAACTTCGCTAGTATGTCTGCTGTGGCTGTAGTCTTGTAATTTGATCATTGGATTGCCGTGGCTGTAGTCTTGTAATTTGATCATTGGATTGCCGTGGCTGTAGTCTTGAGTTCTGGGATCAGCAGTGCCATTTTGTTTATTTGACACTGATGGGTGTGTTCCACACTCCCACTTCCAGGAAGAATATTTGGTTCCTTGGAAGCCTTCTTGTTACATCTTATTTTAGACATTTTAGTCTTGCAAGTTAATGTTTAAAATTCGACCCAGTAGGGTCATCTATTATTTCATTGGTACCTCCATTACTTTATTTAATGTTATTCTTCTACTTCATTACCGCGTAGCTACAAGCTGGATGTGAATATTGACAAAGCAGAGGACGTGTTAATCCATCAGAAAGTTTTGGCAGAAGCGAAGGATCCTGATAGGCGCCCAGCGTTCGCTGTCCGTTTCCTCAGGGTAACTATTTTTTCTTTCTGTGTTATGTGTTCTATGGGCTGGGTTTTGTTTACACTCAGCAAGCAGTTAAGGTCTGTGCAAAATTCTGGGTATTATGAGGAAACTGTCATTAGAAGTCACAGGAACAAACTAGTACTAGACATCTTTCTTTTTCTTCCCAAAATTTTTCCTTGAAAGCAATTTGAACCTGTGTATCATGGCGCAATAACCATTTCTGTAACAGTAAATCAATTTTGTCAAATGAACCATTTCGTGCTTATTCTTTTTATTAATTGATGCCTGTTTATATCTGATATCACCAGCAAAAAGTAGAGTTAATTATTGACATTAAAACTTTGATCAAAGCTTGAAGAGGTAAATGTGGACGAGACAACTAACTCTGATGCTCATGAAGAAGGGGCTGATATTGGTGAAGCTCTTTCTACCAGGTACTCATGCACAGTGCTAGTGTGGTGCTTTTGTAGTTTTGACTCTTGAGTGACCTTGACGGACAAGTTGTGTGCTGTTTCCAACCCAGCATTTACTTCCAGACTGTTTGAAGATACAACCTATTGTTAGATTATGATCTGAGATATACGGTTTAGCAGCAGAACATGCATAAGAACAAAGGGAAAAAAAATATTCACAAATTAAACAAAATGGTAACTGTTGGTTGCTTTCCATAGTTTCTTTGGATTTGGTAAGTAATGTACTTGATGTTCCAGACTAATTGTAGAAATATGCTATTGATCTCACTATTTTGCTGGTGAGTTACTGAAGTTAAAAGTGTTATTAGACTTTGAGATCATGAACCAACACACCACCGAACCA